AATCAACCTTTAACGTGTAATTCCTGTACTCGCTTAACGACCAAATTACTTAACGACCGGTTTCGTGAAACCAATTGTAGTCGTTAAGAAGGGTTCTACTGTAGATGTGGGCATTGTAAATACAGATTCGTACGTAGAGTCTTACGCTAAAGCTTGCGTGTACATTGGGATCGTGAGAGTGAGAATCGATTGTTTGCCAGATACATAATTTATACATGACACACAATTTTCATTAGCATCGTTGTGGAGAATATAAATTAACAAAATGTACCCTGTACATATCCGTCTTTCCGCATAAAAATATAAAAGCATTTTTTATACGCAAATCATCGGCCCCACGGCCTTCTGGGAGTGCATAAATTCAGAAACATTTATTCACAACTAAACCATGGACCGGTTTCGACGCTTAGAGTTTCATCAGACTTGTATCATCACTCGAATAATCTGGCAGTTCAGCATCGATTCAAGCAAGCCTGACTCTGCTGATGAGACAATGAATGTCGAAACCGGTCGAGAGTTTTCTTGTACACTACGTATTGTAGCTATGAAAGATGGGTCCCCTATTTAAGCGCCCAGCTGAATGTATGTGAAACATTGCATTATTGTTATTGCAATGTTGTGCTACTCGTGCCAAAATAAACCTTAACCTGTAGAAACCAAAGCCCATCACGCATTAGATGGCATTACACTCCAAGGTCAGCACAGCAGGCAGTTTAAACGAACCCAAAGCAATTGAATAGCTAAATCACTTCTAACTTTAATAGTTACCTCATTTGGCCAACCTTCAACGCTTTGTCAATCGAACCAAGAGCAGGAAAAACCGCTCTCACCTGGACTTAATGAGCTGATGCGTTAGATAACACGACGATCAGACAGCATTGTGTCCTTAACACGCTGGCATCGCTCTCTTTTCAAGCCGCGCAACCAGTTGTGTGTGTATGCAAAATCTCAACTTAAGTCCATTAATTTATATTGGCCCAGAATGTGATAATGTGTGTGGTGTCAGTACACGCACGAGGTTATTGTGGACTGGGTAACACCAGCGTGTGCACGCCCTGTTTGTACACAAGACTAACCTGTTCCACTGTTTTTATGTTTGCCCTTCAGCTCTGACGGATAGCAACGTCTGTACGGAGCCGACGAATCCTAAACATCTCAGCTGAACCTCGCTTTGACACACGCTCTCTGGCTTGACAATAACGATGGGATCACGATAATAGCCACAGCTCGGCGTCAAATGCCGCGGTGGGTAAGTTATAAAATCTACGGCCCCTTTGGGCAGAAGTTGCCATCCGCTTGAGAAAGCCCCGCCGCCACACGATGCCCAACACTTCATACGTCACCGCAAGGATTCTCAGTCGCACTAAATCGGTTCCTGGCGGTGGAATCGTTTTGGTGACCTACAAAACCCGAAGTTTATAATTTCACACGCGCTCGGTCACACGGACGCCAACGCAATGCCAAACTTATACGCGGTGATAAACGAACCGTTTACATTATGAGACCTCCTTTGCCAGAAACAAGATATAGTAATAGGTTTTACCCTTTTAACTGGCACAAAAACTGACACCTTTATGCAAGGGATCATGTTTGCAATAACCACAACACAAGCAGTCAAAATGCAAACAAAAAGACAACTCTGATAATAATATGCACTGTCCTTGAATTTGATTGGTCCACACCCGAGACAGCTTTTCTTAGAGCCTAGTCTCCACTGGTGTTGGACCAGAAGACGCCAAAAGGCATTTTGACTGCTTGTGTTGTGGTTATTGCAAACATGATGCCTTGAATAAAGGTGTCAGTTTTTGTGCCAGTTAAAAGGGTAAAACATATTACTAAACGAACCGTTATTCTCCCGTTTCGATTCGACGTCGCTAATGTGTGATGATGTTGTGACACCCAAAGGTGTAATAATAATATTAAAGTCCTGTTTCGTCCCTTATACCCCTTGTCTAAATTCACGAGGTAGAGGAGACCGATTGTAATAAACTCTATAAAGGCCACGCCTTGTATGTCTGTCGAGTTGCCGTGGCGCGTCTTGTTACAAGCATTATTATCCATCAGCAAGGCTTTTAAAACGAGCCCGTGTTATTGACGCCCCTGAGTGACTCGATGTAGTCTTTGTTATAGCACCTCGCGTAGTTTTAAAGTTAACGTTTGTCTTGTGTGTATGTATATATACTCAACGCAGTGGATAGTTGCACTTACTGTCTCGGCACATGCCCGTGCGTGTCTGCCGTTGCTCAATGGATATATTGTTTAGACTGAGATTGGAACATAAGATTGACGAATGCTACGGTACATTCAGTGCAATACAATTGACAGTAGTTATTAGGTACACGCTTATCTTGCACGTATGAACACCTGGTAATTATACACGGCGTTCTTAAGACGTGGCCGTCCGTCCTTCCCTCCGGCCAGCCAGCAAATCGTACAAAAAAAGTACTGTTGAATGAAATTCCAATAATAATAATGCACACACTTTAGTCTATTCACTGCTGGATGGAAGCTTCCCTTTGCCGTGTCGGCCATGGGGGGTTGTTTGACCATACTTCACCACGATGATGAAGGGATGATAGTGAAAAATGTAACACGCTACTGATGTTAGCCGTGGCCGGGAGTCCAACTCAGTTTTGCAGGGTTTATAGCGCGCAGTCTGCAAGAAGTTTCGTCACCGCTCCACCCTCGGTGTAATACATAAATGATATGAATCATTGTATGGTGATGAATATTGACGAACGTGGTTATTGTAAGACGTAAATTGTGTTTATTATTCATAACGGAGCGAATGATTAAGTTATGCATTACTATGCAATATTGCGTCGAAACTAAGACCCATATCGTTAAGAGACGTCCTTGCCTACCAGTTCAGCAGTTCACCAACATTGATTAATGCAAGGTCTGACTGCTGATGAGAAACCGCGTGTCGAAACCGGCCCTAAGTTTTATTTTCTTGAACCAATGCTGCTGATGCATTAGCAGAACACCCTGCAGCTGATGGGTTGTGCCCAACATGTTTGTTCTTTCACGTGGAGACGGATATGTGAACGAGACATTGCCAATGTATTCATTAATAAGTAGGATTATTTAAATACGAGTATTCACCCTTCCGCCTGTATCTAAGCACGCTTATGAGATTATATCAATTTAAGCCACGACGCAGCGGTCCCAGACTAATTCCCTGACCACGGATAACATCAGTGGCGAGTGATATCTAAATCGCTCATGGGCCACTGCCATTCACCAACCAGAATGGTGAAGTATGGTCGTGTACACCAACAACTCGCACGACTAAAACGACGTGAGGAGGAGGCCTTCGCGTCCGGCAGTGGATTGACGAAGGGCTGTACGTTATCATGAAGCTGATATAGAGAGAATGTTCTGATGTTTTTATCAATTACGTTGGCCATAGTATTAAAGTTGTACGACGTAATTCTTACCCCAAATGAACTGGCTATATACTGTACACGTACATGTTCAACTTGTTTAACCTAATCCGCATGCATATGCATTGACATTAGATTTTAATTACAGTAATCGCTCTTGTTTACCAAATCAGATGCGATCCCATTGAGATTCATGGCCCCTTTTTTGGCGAGGGAGTTCCCTATTTACAAATAAACACACACACACACCCCGATCTTGATAACATTTAAGAAACACAAGCAAAGAGGCAGACGGGTCGGTGGTAGACGAGGTAATAAAAGCTAAAGACAAAGATCCCCCGTGTAGCCTGAACAGACTGTTGGGGGCAAGTGCTGCTCGCGAGTAGCACCCTATGCAGGCCGGCACGGCACACGTGGGGGGTTGGGTGGCCAGCACCGCGCCCGGCCGCCTTTGTCTCCCCCAGTGGCGATGTTTTGCACCCACACACCATGTACTCATTTGAGGCTGAGTCGACCTAGGGGATGCCCAGGACCGGTTCAGGAATCGAACCGATCCGGGTTCGTAGCCGAAGCGCGCTAACCACTACACTACACATAGATACATCTAGAGGAGGCCCAATGACACGTTCTGACACCACTCGTCACCAATGTTAGCCGTGGTTGGGATTTGAACCCAGGTGGCCCTGGTTTGTTGCGCAAAGCTAGAACCACAATGCTGTTGGCGAGCACCTATTAAGGTTCCTCGGGCACACGATGATGTAGGTGGTTTGGCCAAACACGTGCCAGGGCCGTGCGTCTCTCTGTTGTCCCCATTGCCGATATCTTTCACGCACCGCGCCAGGCACTTGTGTTATTGTTGTCGCTCCGGGGACCGGGAGATCGACGATCGATGTTCGATCGACGATCGATGTTCGGTCGCCGCGTTGATAGCATTCTCCGTGATTTCTCGCTTCACAGAGTTGGCCGGCAACGATCACACACCCCCACGCACACCCCACACCACCTTAAACGCTCATTAAAATTACAATAAGCCAGCTGCTTTGCATCTACATCAGCCACACGAAAGAAAGTCATTTGAGACGAGGTTGATTTTAGAGAAGGTCCAGGGACCGGTTAAGATATCACTCGCTTCTGATGCTAGCCCGTGGCGTGCAAAGACAAAGCCCCCCGTATAGCCTTAACAGACTGGCGGGGCAAGTGCTGTTACCTTACAGCACCTATGAAGAAGGCCGGCACTGTGGCACACGAGGGGGTGGGTGGCCAGCACCACGCCCGGCCGCCTTTGTCTCCCCAGTGGCGATGTTTACTACACACCGCGCCAGGTACTCATTTGAGGCTGAGTTAACTTGGGGGGGGGGGGGGCTCAGAACCAGTTTAAATATTCGCCACTGTTATTGATCGTGAGCGGTGAATCGAACTCGGGTCGCGCGGGTTCGTTGCGCAGCGCGCTAACCGCTGCGCCACCGCTCACGTACATACACACATACACACACACGCGCGCGCACCTGTTATCAACTAGCGGGCAGGTAGGGGGGGGGAGCGAGATAGGCTTTAGTGGGGTGACGGGGGATAGTTTTGGGGGTTGGGGGCTCGCTGTGTGTTTGCGTCAAAAGTCAATAACTTGGTAATAATTGATGAGAGCAGAGCGCCAGGGCGGACGACCTAGCGGGTCCCGCCTTGCGCGCCGCTCAGTAGCGGGGAATGCGGTACGCGAGGTGGCGGTGTGGGCGTCAGGTATTGATTGGGCACTGATGTTCACGTAACGTTATCTACGGAGGGGTGTATGGTGGCAGGTCTTTTACAGGGGCACGCAACGCAACGCGCGCGCGTCACGGACTGGTATTAATTCAGGATTGTTCCACGAGACACGCTTAAAGCACTCGACCACGTTTGTTGGAGCGCGCAATCCAACTTGCAGGTAAGCACTTCGGTGGACACGCACCTGTGCCTGGCAACAAGGTGGACAGCTTAGACCATGGACATTTGATGCTCGCGGATGGGACAATGACAACGTCAAATATCGCACCGCTGGTCTGCCTCTTCCTGCTGCTCCATCAGCCTCACCACCGGCGCGTCCACGCCAAGCCAGGGAACGGCATGAAGGCTTGGGAGAAGTTCAGCTCTGGTTCCACCACGTCCCCTCCAGCCGACGAGGCGCGATTCCCCGAGGGCTTTTCGTGGTCCGTGGGCACGGCCGCCTACCAGGTGGAGGGCGCCTGGGACGCGGATGGCAAGGCCGCCTCCATCTGGGACAAGTTCACCCACGGGCACCCAGAGATGTTCGATGGCTCCAGCGGGGACGTGGCGAGCGACGGCTACCACCACGCGGAAGAGGACGTGGAAGCGCTGCGCTGGCTCGGCGTCAGCCACTACAAGTTCTCCATCTCGTGGCCTCGGCTCCTGCCCAACGGTTCGGCGTCAGAGCCCAGTGCGGCGGGGCTGCGCTTCTACAACGAGACCATCGACCTGCTGGTGCGCGCAGGGATCCGGCCCGTGGTCACCCTCTACCACTGGGACCTGCCTCAAGCCCTACAGGAGCGCCACGGCGGATGGCTGAGCGAGGCCACGGTGGACGCGTTCGCGGAGTACGCAGAGTTCTGCTTCCGAGCTTTCGGGGACCGCGTGCGCACCTGGTTCACGGTTCACAACCCGTACGCGGTGGCGTGGCACGGCTACGGGAGCGGCACGCACGCGCCCGGGATCAGAGACCCCGGCCTCTCTCCCTACGTGGTGGCTCACAATCTCATCAAGGTGGGTGGGTGGGGTGGGGTACGGGGGAGGGTTGCATGCCATACATCCACCATCATCGTGATCGTTTTTCATGAAACGCTATTATTCTTCGCGCAGCATGTGTCTAAGTACATGCGTACAATGCAATCCCCACGTCTCTGTTGTGCACATCACATCATCGCATAGTCTATAGTTCCATGTGCGTATTATACGATGATAAAATCACTTAATGTTATATGCACAATCATGTATACCATGGCATATGATCCCACAATCCCCCGAGTCCACGTGTACATATCACGCAGCTTCCATACACATCCTTGTACGCAGTATATATCAACAGTGTAACACGTCCTTGGATATATCACAAAATTATCATACAATCACTTACGTCCATGGATGTGTCGTATGCGCATCCATTCCCCACATCCTTGTGAATGTGCACTTATCTCTTGGTCCATGGGATGTAATACACCTCCACGTCCTCGGAAACACCATAAAATGTCAGGTGTCATCATATGAACTTGTAGTCTCTAAGGATTAACATCTATCGATGTGCTAGAATGGCTGCTCAATCCGAACTTTATGACTTTCGCTTGGAAAAAAATGAACCTTTCTTTTACCAGGTAAGGCCCACTGAGCCATATAGCTCTTTTTCAGATGCGACCTGGTCATAAATGATAGCCTAATGAGGTGGCTTATCACGTGGAAATTTATAGCAGCCAAATACTCTAAATGCATGTTGATTCTAAATGTGGAGGGAACAACCGGAGGACCCGGAGAACAATCCACGCGACCACGGGGAGAACATGCAAACTCCAAAAATACAGGCGTCAGGGTCGGGATCGAACCCACGGCCTCCTGCATACCAGGCGAGGTGGTCAACATCTCCTAGCCACCTTGGTGTCAGGGTCGGGATCGAACCCACGGCCTCCTGAATACCAGGCGAGGTGGTCAACATCTCCTAGCCACCTTGGTGTCAGGGTCGGGATCGAACCCACGGCCTCCTGCATACCAGGCGAGGTGGTCAACATCTCCTAGCCACCTTGGCGCCCAAATCACAGCGCGGAGGTTGATTGGTCTCACTCGTCGGGCAGTGTCAGCCAAAAGTTCCATCAATCTTTTGCGCTGAACGCTTACAAATACAATAACCTAACCCCATCATCAGAGAACTAAAGCAGATTTGCTCACGTGGAGTGTGTCGCTCAAGCCAACAGAACGCAGGCAAGGCTCGAAAGCAGTATGATCACACAATCCTCATATCGTTGTTTGCACATCACATACATCCTACAAAGATTAGTGTCACCCTGCTCAAACGAGCGACGGATGTTGTACATTACCATTGGTGATCCTGAGCCAGTTGTGGAAATTCCACATTGCTATGGCAAGCACGAGTCTATATGTAGGATGACCACTGTTGATTCCTCAATTTACCATCCCTGGAGTACGGGTGATGATAAAAACCGTAATGTTGGGTCGAGATAACACAGAGAGAGAATGGGCCTGGTTCAGTACTTCATATATTGTATAATTTATATAAAAGTATATACAAGTCTAATTGTCCTCGCATTGAAATGAGACTTGGGTTGGTCGTTGTACTGAGCTTACAGCGGAAATTCCGTATTCCTATGAAGGATGACCATTCTTGACTTTGCAGAATGTGCAACTCAGCCGTACAGATTCTCTACACACAACTGTGTATTGCTCATCTGTCATATATGCACATAAACATACAACTTACAATACTTATAACAATAATGTAATGCACAGTAACGTAATGACACATTACTGAGGCGGTGGTAGATGTGTTGAGGAAGGTGGGTGCGTGGGACAGGAGGGAAAGGGAGTCAGAATCAGAATCTTTATTTAGGCTGGAGGAATCCGATGAGCTATGAAGCTCTTTTTCACAGATGTCCAGATTGAGTCTTCGTAGGACTGAACGGTGACATTTCACAGGCATGGTCTAACGTCTATTTTATATAGATGTTTAACGGCATCTACATAATTACACTGCAGGATAAGATAATGTTTAGATATTTTTAATTATTGTGAAAGGGTGACCCAGGGTATCATACACGTTGTGGATATCCCAAGTCTCGCTTACAAAAGAGACAAATTGTACAAATTAGGCTCTCAACTCCTGTACCTTTATATAACATATGACAAACCAATATATAAAGTATATGACAAATCAATATATATTTTGTGTTGTTCAAGAAAAAAGCAAAAACATTATCAAAAACATATCGAGCGAGGACAACACTTAAGGAAATTGTCCTTATTTAGAGTTCAGAATAGAATATTGTACAAAGACACGACACGTAACAATGTGAGAATCACAATCAAGACAATAAAAACAAATAGAAAAATATATGTTTTGCGTTGAATATAATCATGACCCAGAATTGTCATCATGCATTCAATCATGGGCTGGAGGTTATAGATTGTTATATGTGTGGAGGTGATCTGTTCGTTGTCTGGAGGTCGTTTTTGACTTTAAGAGATTCCAGTCCAGTTCTCAAGTTTCAGCAATTCCTCCTCCTCCAATATTTGAATATTTTCGAGAAATCTTTACTCCATCGTAGCCATCATCTAGGATGAGGTGACATCAAGCTCGTTTCCTTTCAATTACTCAATGTCGGACCAATTCCTCCAGGTTGTCTCCATCTCTTCTATTTACACATCCAAAATATTCCCAACTACCTGCAATTATGTTTAATAAGTTGTCTGGCTTTCATACCTGCACCAACACCTAGAGATGCGTTCTTTTTTTCAGTCCATGAAAGCCGCATGTGAGAGATCACTCCTAGAAAAGCACTGCCTCTGCACAGATTCTCGCCTGTCGATTAAGGCTAACTGACGGTCACTCTGCGACCTGCGATCCCCGCATCTCTGTCACAGGCGCACGCCCGTGCCTACCGCATCTACCAGCGCCACTTCAAGCCCACGCAGGGCGGCGAGGTGTCGCTGGTGCTCGGCTCGCACTGGGTGGAGCCACGGGGAGGCAGCCATAGCCCCAACGCTGCCGCCGGCGACGGTGGAACCAGCGCATCCAATATCGTCGCGTGCCAGCGCTCGCTCGACTCGGCGCTGGGCTGGTTCGCGCGGCCCATCTTCCACGACGGCGACTACCCGGCCAGCATGCGCAACGAGCTCGGCGCGCGTCTGCCCACGTTCAGTCTGTCCGAGCGGGACGAGGTGCGCGGCTCGGCCGACTTCTTCGCACTCGCGTTCGGCCCCACCAACTTCGAGCGGCTGGAGGCGGCACGGCGCGCAGGCCAGGAGGCGGCGTTGCGGCTGAGGCCCCTGCTCAGCTGGGTGTCACTCGAGTACGACCGGCCGCGCATCGTGCTCGCCGAGAGCGGGTGGTTCTCGGATGGCGATGGGGGCACGCGTGACACCGCCAACATGTACATGCTCAAGAGCTTCCTGAACGACGCCCTGCGAGGTAGGGCAGTGCCATGCATCGCCGTCGTCGAACCTCCAATTAGTGCGGTTGGCTACGTACAATGTACATGCATGCATATTCGTGTCACCGCTGTCATCATCACCATTATCAAGGTGGTGGTGTGTGCCTCAGAGGTCAGAGTGCTGAGGTTGCAACGCTGATTTCCAGAGGTTTGATTCAGGAATTCAGCTGCCTGCGTTTAAACCAGTTTCTAAAGTGTGCTGAGCTGAAGGCATCAGTCCGGTTGTATGCCTAATTCAGCAAAATCAACATTCCACGAAGAAATGTCAGTTTTAATGGTGTTTCATCATGTGGTGAACATTTCTGTTTGTAGCAGGGCAAGTGGGAAATTGCCGTGGATAAGAGGTCACTTGAAGAAATTTCAGAAAGAGTTACGCGATATCTCCTTCTGCTGACCGTTTTCTAATGTTATGACAAAAAAAAATATCTAATGACATGATGCCAATAGCACGTTTTGGTTAAAATTTGGGGCATAAAATCCCCATCATCTTCGTCAGTCACAACAGCAAAACTCTAGCAGATGAGCAAGATGATCCATAATTGGTTGATTTTGGGTTAGATCGTGTGAAGTTAATAAAATCGTATTGATCATGAAAGCCTTCATATCAAATTATATGTTTGAGGAAACTGGAATGCCAACTCAAGTATTGTTTATGAATGTTTCAGGTCACAGCAATTCCTTACTTGAACTAGCTGCTGTGTCACTTTAATTCGTATTTCATAATTATTACCATCATCTTACTCTTTTTCAATAACAGCAAGCCTCACTGTTGATACCAACAACTCAGTTCTATGCACCTTCTGTCTGCCTTGGTACCAATTTTATGCTTTGATTGTAACAAGTAATAATTTTGGTTACATTAGTAACTTGTTGATTTGTTATACCTATGTTGGTGGTTGAGGATGAACCTTTTCTTTTTTAATAATAACCATATCAAGGCCCTCTCGCAGAGTCTTCTGGGTCAACAGGTTTGATTAGTTTACCCAAAATAGAATTAACAGAAGTAGCACCAAATACAACAGCGGTTGTGCAATTGGCAGGTTGGTCCCCAACGGTAGTCACGTGGAATTGCCACCACTGACTGATGACTTTCAATCGAAATCAGTATCAGTACCACCTCGTGCTGCTCGTTAGTGTCAGCACACTGACATTGTTTCAATGACGGGAAGCGTCCAACTGCAACACACAGCATGGCAGAACGAGGCCTGGAGAGCATTGGGTGATCGCCACGGCTTTCCCCCAGCTCATTATTATCGTTCAGTGAGGCAATTAATTAGATTCTGGCAACCGTCAGACTCTCCAGGAGCAAGTAATAACTTACAAAGCTGCTGCAAGCGCTTTCTAACCTACATTATGGAATAGCCTACCCACCACTGCTTGTCAAGGAGTCCTCTCTGGCAGTCAGATCGAGACCAATCTAAAGACGTTATACTTATTCACAAAAAATCTGTAGACAAACAGCATCCTTTAATGGCTTTGCTTGAAACGTTGACAACACTTTGTAGTAGTTACTATTGTTACTACTACTAATCCATGATTAAAGTGTTTTCTCCATAGGCAAATATATGATAACTAGGGGTTGTTCGGGGACGACTGCGGCGCCCCTCACAACCATTTACGGCCTTCGGCCAGGAAAGTCACACGAACGACGCATTCACGCAAGCACCCGATGGTCCGTTTTGAAGTTTAAAAATTAAACATTTTTGAATTGTATTATGTTTTGAATTAGATAATTGTATTTCTTCATTAAAAGCTTATATAATTTTACATCTGGAAGACTTCATTGAAAACGACATTTCGTGTGAATTTTCTCTCGTCGTTAAGTAGATGGCTTTACTTGGGGGTTCGGTTCGATGCGGACTTTCACCTGTTTGGGATTGCGGGATCGAGATAAGGCGACATAGAGCTGCTGGCCGTGCGAGAAGACCGCCGTCTGCAGATCGATTCCAACGTAATCGAACGTCTGTCCCTGCGTGTCCGTCGTTCATGCAGGGAACGCGTGTAGGTTTACAGCGCCCTCTGCATGAAAACGACGGAAAGTGCAGCGTTCATCACAGATAGATAAAGTTGTGCGCTTATATAAGAGTATTGATTAGTCGGTCACTCACTAACCAACATGTCCTGCTATGCTTCGGTACTTTTCTTAATACTTTATGAAGCGCAATGTAAATAATCAAACGATGGTGATGCGACTGATGGTGCTGCTCTGTGGCTGACTATGCTGTAGATCAGTAGTCTTCATTGCAAGGCCCGCGGGCCAGCAGGCAGCCCCTGTTGGCCTTTAGTGCGGCCCCTGATGTGCGGCCACTGACAATACACAAATGTGAAAACACCCCATCGTGCTGTCAAACCCAATGGTTTAAAATGTGTGGCGACCCTCACACTGAAAATTTGTGAAAAACAGTGCTGTAGACGATGCCGGTGATAAAGCCGTCGCCGCCACCGACGACGATGATGATGATGATGCAGCTCACACGGACCCCTGTCACCCTGTAGCCGTGCGCGAGGACGGGGTGAGGCTCGAAGGCTTCACAGCCTGGTCGCTGCTCGACGGCTTCGAATGGGGCCACGGCTTCCGGCTGCGGCGCGGCCTGATGCACGTCGATTTCACGTCGCCCGGACGCGCACGCCGGCCCAAATCGTCGGCGCGGCTCTACCGCCAGGTCATCGCCCGCAACGGCTTCCCCGAGCCCGAGCCGCCCGTGTACGGCACGTTCCCCAGCACCTTCTCCTGGGGAGTGACGGAGGGCATCGTTGAGGTGAGCGTGTGGCAAAAAAGTATATAGAATGGTGATCCCCCCCCCCTCCCCGCCGAATCCGTGACATTTCATGGAATTGCTGGGGGAGGGCAAATTGGTTACATGCATATCAATTGTTACATAATCCACCTGTGCCCTTTACCCAAGACTGGAAAACCTGAGGCAGAATTTTACAGCTTCCACAGCCGGAGCCGCGAGACACCGCTGGCTTCAGGCCAACCACACCATTCCTGTCTACCTAATTTGAGACTCTTTCACTATAAACCGCTGATGGTAATTTGGCAATTAATGTCAAGACATTGTTTTCTTCTTGGTGACAGTAGGCAATCCCTGTTCTCGTCCTGGACCCCCACTTCACCAACACACACGGACCAGGAAGGTGAAATATGGTCAGATAGCCCCTATAACCGACATGGTATGGGGAGGCCCTCACCCAACGGTCGATGGAGAAAGGGATGCATATCATTATATTTATTTCTATAGTATATTGATGTAAGATGAATATGAAATATATTTAAGTTGGGGAGGCTTTCATCTAGCAGTGGACTGATCACGGCTGATGATAATGGTCACCAAAATACGTTCTAAATAATCTACGTATAATGCTTCAAATAAAGACCTTTTAAGGATACCCATAAGTTTTGAAAACGATATCAAGTTGCACATTCAACCGAGATATGGGCATACGTATAAAAAAACCCAAAGTTAAATGAACTATGCACCCAAATGCCACATTTACAGATTTGTCAGGTGTAATTTATTACGTAACTGGCACCAGCGTTTATTGGGTTGTTGTGCAATTTTACCGCCTTCATATCTGTTAATTTCTTACAAGGTTTACTGGCAGGCTACGAAATCATGGTTTTTATATGTTGCAATGAAACTTTCAACAATACGACAAGAATCACATGGGGCTTTTAACTATCTGCCGAATGTAAGTCTACTCGGAGACAGCGCAGTTGGCTACGTACAGTGGAAAAGAAGTTCAATATGCATACAGTGTAAACATATAATGTAGCGTACAATAGTAGTGTACACTGCAGGCAGAAAATTCGTGCGGCTGAACTTCATTGGGAACACCGCGTGGCCTGGGGACCCTCGATGGGCCGCTTGGGAAACAAGATGGGAATAAGACCGCATCGCGTGTGTTTTTCCGCGGCAGCATCATAGTGAGCAGTGTATTTACGATGCGTACAGGAATATCGCGGTTAACCTCGAATGGTCGAGCCGCAGGGGCGCCGCTTGGTGAACTGCGCCTCAATAAATTTGCCGCAAAAGAGCAGGAACTGAACCCGCGAGAGGGGAGGTTTTGCTGTATTCGTTAATGCTGCTATATTTTACAGCCGTTTATCAATCCACTGCTGGATGAAGCCTCCCGATGTCACAACTTCGCCATGCTGGTCAGCGTGTGTTGGGGAAGTTGAGGGCCAGGATCAGTTCACATATCACTCGCCACTGATGTTAGCCGTAGCCTAGCAATCTAGCTCGCTGGGTTCATAGCAGAGCGCACAAACCGCTATGCCCACCGCTCTACCCATCATTTCAATTTCCAGCTGTGATGCCTTCGGAGCAGGACCGTATGTGCATGGCAGGACTATTGTGTAGGATATGGCCCGGCATCCACCCATCAACACCAGACAGTTAACATCACACAAAGTAGACGTTTGTGAAAACGGCATGTTGCGATTATCCAAGTAAACATTTCAAAGTGCATTATTCATTAACCTGTCTCCTCCACAGGCAGACAGACAACCGCATAGACAGAGGGACTCACAGACTGATAGGTGGCGTGGCCCAGCCAAAGATATTTGCCTAACAAAAGGGGAAAATACTTGGCTGCTGACCTGCACTGTGATACCCAATTGTGATGTTTATCAGCACGTGGCATCAAGACCAGCCCTGCCGTTATCAAGCACACAGAGGCTCATTAAACAAGGGTGGCTGCCTCTCCACTTACCTGCACATAACTCTTTGCATTTGGGATTAATCCGAGAGCTCTAAGGCAAACTCTGTGCAGACCCAGAGGTGCTTGCAGACATTTTCGATTTTTTTTCCACTCGGGAGAGCGGAATGTACGCTGCATTCTGCAGCGGAAATATTCCAAGAATGCAGGGGACTCGAACAAAGGCTTTGCAGTGCTATCAGCAATTAATGTATTGAGATTGGCCTTGCCTGGTATGTCGACAAAAAAAAGGCTTGGCACTGCAAACGCTTTTCAAAAAACGATCATTGGCCTCCAGCACAGGTTTCTGTATGGCGGTCAATAGATGGGGGAGGGGGGGTAGCCTGTTGGCCAAGGGCTCCCAAACACTGTGATGACATCGATGGGTTCCTGAATAAACTTATTCAATCCAGACAAAACACCGGTAATTGAGTTTAGCGAACTGGTGATCTTAGCATCATCACCAATGACTGCACGTGAAAACGATTGCATTAAACTATTGTTTTTGCGTGGTTTGGGTAAATTCCAGCTCCAAACACTGCCGTTTGATTGATAAGCGATGAATACTCTTTGCAGGGAAATTAAATGGTGTGCCCTTAGTGTCGATATAGAGGTCTATTAAATTAACTTTTAAGATAGTTCTGTCATGTCATCTTCCTGGGCTATTGTCTGCAAAGGGTGATGAATTGCTAAGCCCCAGAGTTTTGAGATTTCGCAACATGACGCCAATAGCACAATTGGAATGCAATTGGACAAAATCATGTTAAAGAACGTTATATACGAAGCATATTATCACTTGCAATGTATCCATCCCGCTGGAGTACTGCTTAAAAAAACAGATGTCGGACTCCCTTATTGACTGTAGCACTCATTTACTTCCACTTGCTCTGTATTCGAACAAAACGCATACAGGGAAAGCACTGCGCTGATGCAGTAGGCAAGCAGGCAAGCGAGCATGCTTCACGCACGTGCTTTTCATCCTGCTCCAGGTGGAGGAGTCCCCTTCGTCGGTGCAGTTTGCCGACACGAGCGTCTACCGATGGGACGTGCACCACTCGGGGAAACTGCTGCAGCTGCCGGGCCTCAGGATGCAACCGCGCCTGTCGCAGTGTACCGACTTCACAAGCATCAGGAGCACCGTGAGCCTACTGCGGCGCACCGGCGTCACAGCGTACCGCTTCTCGCTCAGCTGGTCTCTGCTGCTGCCCTCAGGAGACCCCGGGAGGCCCAACCACGCCGCACTGCGCTACTACCGCTGCCTCGCCACCGAGCTGCGGCATCACGCCATCGAGCCAGTGGTTACGCTGTACCACCCATCGCACCGCCACGTGGGCCTCCCCCGGGTCCTGAATGACGCCGGTGGCTGGCTCAATGTCTCCGCGGTGGAGGCGTTTGCGGCATATGCGCGCCTCTGCTTCGGCGAGCTGGGCGGTGCCGTGCGCACATGGCTGACGATGAACGAGCCCAGCACGGCCGCTCACGCCGAGGGCAGCCCTGGCTCCGCCTATGCCAGGGCTCACAACCTGATCCGGGCACACGCTCGGGCCTGGCGGGTCTACGACGTGGAGTTCCGTGCGGAGCAGGGCGGCCAAGTGTCCCTGGCACTGCGGGCCGACTGGTACCAGGCGGCCGACCCGTTCGCGGGCGTGGACGCCGCCGCCACTGCCGAGCGCGCCATGCTGTTCGACCTGGGCTGGTTCGCAGAGCCGATTTTCGGCACGGGGGATTACCCGCAGGAGGTGAGCTCTTGGATCGCCCATCGCAGGCAGCTCAACCTCACAGAGTCACGGGTGCCGAGCTTCACGGAAGAGGAGAAGGCGGCCGTGCGGGGAGCATACGACTTCATCGCACTCAACCACTTCACCACGAGGCTGGTGCTGCACGATGAGAAGCCAGGTTCGAGCCAAGCGCTCGACCGCGCCGTGAACATCATCAAGGTTAGTGCCCAAAACTCAGATGCCGTGTGGACTCCCTCACCATTCCACTTTGTAGCGTCACGGCCCAGCGCATCCGCTCACTGTGCTGCCAACTCTTCAAAGTGGAAAGTTGCCAAACAAATCTGAAAAAGTCACTAGGTATCATTAGATAGACCTTTCTAAAGTAATAAAAAAAATATCACTAGACAATTGACCAAGTATTAAACAAAGCATACTGATAGACAGTCAAAACACATATTGGTAATGACATCACTACACAATATACCAAAGATTAAATATAGTAAATTGATCATGGGAACTCCCTTGCCAGTATCAAAATATAAGAATAGGTTTTACCCTTTCTGGCAATAAAACAGTTGTGTTAAGATGTTAAAACACCAAACTGAAACCTTTTGCAAGGAATAAAAAAAACATGCTCAGAGCATGTTATTTTGTTTGCATGTTCACCACAAGTATATGTGGTTAATGCAGACATGACTCCTTGAAAAAGGTTTCAGTTTGATGTTTTAACATCTTAATACCTATTCTTGGTTCTTTAGGTAAAGTCACGTAGAAGGGAAACAAAATAATAAAAATATAAAACAATCAAATTCTCACGACGTTTCGACTGCAACACAAGCAATCATCATCAGGTGTGAAAACCACAGCAAGAAAATTTTTGAAAAAAGTGGCGTTTTTTTCAAATTTTCTTGCTGTGGTAATAATAGGGTTTTTCCCCTTTTTCTGGCAACAAAACTGAAACCTTTTTACAAGGATTCATGTCTGCATTAACCACAATACCTGCAGTCAAAATGCAAACAAAAAACATACTATGATAATATATGCATTGTCCTTGAAACTGATTGGTCCACACCAAGGGACGGCTTTCTGGTGTGGACCAATCAGTTTCAAGGACAATGCATATATTCATCTTCTTTGGTTCTTTCGGTAAAGTCACGTATCATAGTATGTTTTTTGTTTACATTTTGACTGCAGGTATTGTGGTTGATGCAGACATGAATCCTTGTAAAAAGGTTTCAGTTTTGTTGCCAAAAAAGGGGAATAACCCTATTATTACATTTGGTACTGCCAAAGGAGGTCTAATGATGTAGTTTCTTGCTGTGGTTTTCAGATCTGATGATGATTGCATGTGTTGCAGTCGAAACGTCGTGAGACTTTTATTGTTTTATATTTTTATTATTTTATTGTTTCCCTTCTACGTGACTTTACCGAAAGGACCAAGAATATAAATCCCTGCAGTCACGAAAGCTTTAAATCAAAATCTTAATACCTGTTTCATTACCAGAAAGGGCAAAACCTATTATTATATAGTAAATTGATATAGAATCCTTAATGCGCACAGGGGATCACTGCTAAATCTACAGTGTCCTCATCACAGAAATTTCCTAGATTTGTCACTCATAGCTTTGGCAAATACTCTTTCTAGGGAAACCAAAAATAGTCGCTAGCTGTAGCGACAAAATCGTCAAGTTATTGATGCTGGTCCACTAAACCCTAAACCCAACCCAGTTACTGCTTTGGAGCCATCGTTGCATCAAGCCCGTGTCCGAGCAAGGGGCCCTCGCCAATGACACTGTCCTCCTGCGGTGACTAGCACGGTCGGTCATGTGCGGCGCGGCGTAACTTCAACATTCATACGTGACCTCTCCCTGGCAGGACATGACATGGTTGCGGTCGGCGGGCGGGCTGGCGGTGGCGCCGTGGGGGCTGCGCGCGGTGCTGGGCTGGGTGGCACGGCGCTACGGAGCCAGGGGCGCCGCCATCCTCGTCACCGCCAACGGTGTGGACGACCGGGCCCCCTCGGACGACCGCTTGAGGGTGCTCTATCACCAGCGCTACATCAACGAGATGCTCAAGGGTAATGCGGAATTGACGACAACGATCGTTGCTGTCGATTGCACCCTCATTAGCGCTGCTTGTTGCCGGCCGTATGGGCCTGTGCTCAACGACTGTGATAAAAAATAAAATAAAAATTGCATAAAAATCAGAGCTTATCCCAGCGTGAGGGTTGAGTGGTATTAATCTCCCGAGTATCACTTTGCTGGAGTTAATTATACTATTAATATAGTTATAGTCAATCGATAAAATACTTTTGCACTCGCAATACGTGCATCAAATCATGCGTGTGATCATACATGATTTACTACATATGTAAATTATATGCAAACATTATCTTTACACTATTGAAACAGACAGAACAAAAGAAACAGATGACACAGACAACACTGTCATACTTATCAGACAGAACAAACGAGACGAAAATAATGTGACTCTTGAATTGAGTCGTGACCTCATGTCATGAATCTTGGGGTGATGAGTCATTACATGCGCATAGCTACAACTGTGATATACATGTGAAGCTATTTGTCAATCCACTGCTGGATGAGAGCCTCCCCACGCCATGTGGGTTGTGGGGGGTTAGTTGACCATACTACACCAAGCCAGTCAATACATGTTACCAAAGGTGGGGAGCAAAGATGTAAGGGTACCGAAGTTCAGTGCAATCTAAAGAAATTGAGAAAACGTTTAAATTCAAAGCTTCTACTTGTCTTTCACCAATCTCAATACTGTACACTAATTAAATGCGTTAACCTCCTCTGTAAGATACAGAGCCATCGCTTTCGCTTTCGTCAATCAACTGTCGAGAAAAAAATTACGCGGCTCATTATAAATTAGTTCGTTATTTAGAAATGGATCACCCTGTATTTTTTTTCCTCTCTGCCAGGAAGAAGGTCCTAAGGCCAAAACGTCGCCTTCTGTATACGTTTTCCTGTTTCGGGCAGTGTTATTGATGCATGTGTTAAGTCTTTGTTACGTGACCCTGTATCTTCTTGCCGGTATCATCGCCACCGTCTGCAGCGTACCGGCTGGACGGGGTGCGCGTGGGCGGCTACTTCGCGTGGACATTGCGCGACAAGGTGGCCCCGCTCTCTGGACTCTACGCCTCCCCGTACTACGACACGGCTGCCAAGGCCTCGCTGGGGCGCTACCGTGCCACCATCGCCGCTAACGGGTTCCCGGAACCGACGGGGGTCGGCGAAATTGACGACGACGATGGGGCGACCTCGCCCGGCGGGACGCCCCAAGCTGGCACCGTGTGCCCGGCGTGTTTGTTTTTCCGAGCGAAGGGGCACGTGGTATTCTTCTCGAGCTGCCTGCTTTCCAGCGCGCTGCTGCTCGTCATCTTCTGCGTCTACCGACGTAAGCGACGGAAACTCTACCCGTCGCTCAAGCGAAAGGAGAACTCGTACTGTGCTTAGTTGATGAACGGCGTTTGTAGAAGAGCGGGGAAGGAGAGCTCACGTGTGGATAATATGAAACAAATATCACTGCTGTGCTGTAGAACAGTTATCATTTATTTAAGAGATTGTCGACAAAAGTTCTTAAAATTTTATTATGTTTGAATTTGTTATGCTCAGGGTGATACAGTGCTAAGGAAATAATTGATATTTGCAAACGATTCACCCACCGCCTCGTCCCAGCTTGGTGAGAATTGTTACAATTTGGGATTGCGGTTTGATCAAAAAACTTATTATTTTCGGTGGAGTTTTTACTCTGTTATTCCTATAATTATTTTTTTAATCTTACGTGTCAAGTTTGTATCTCGCTCAATTAGCCTAAATGTAATGTTAATTTATCATCCACACATAATTTGCCCTTAATGTGTAAATAATAATTTCTTACACAATTCGATGCCCGTATGTGTTCGGTGAATGCTACACGTGCTTTGTAAAAAAAAGACTAATAAAACTAGCACAGTGACACAGGTAATTGACATAAAACACACACATTGTTCACGCAGTCACCACTCGTGGGACTTTCATTCCTGGGAGCTCAAGTCCACATATCGACAAGCATTGACTTTGGCCCATCACCCCACCAGGGTCAGTACACTTAGCATCACCTCTGATGCCTGTGGCTAAATCATATGGACGGACCGGTGCCCATCATCATCATCACAGTCCATGGGTAGATAACCCGTCGGTGTCCGCTGCACATTTCGTCATGATGGGCCACTGAACGAAATGTGTAGTGGCCCATCGCAGGGATGTGAACTTTCCATCCATTTCTCAGAAGTCCCAATTGAGATAAGTACCGCCTAGCACTCGTTAGAGCACGGAAACACTTTAGACTCTTGGTTCTCTTCTTTTTTAAGTTACTGTATATGTTTGTAATTTGTGTACTGTATTTATATTTCATTTTCTAGTGTGCTGTGTTAAGGGAGTACAAGACCAACACTGCTTTTTAGTTGGAACACTCAAGTGAGCGGTATGTCCTCCATTCTAACAACTTTTAATTACATATGTTTGACAATACTAGCTTAAAAAGAGATACTTATTTAATATTATAAGTCGTGAGTGGCTCACGGATGTATTGATTTTAAAAAGGGCTGCATGTGGACACTCCTAAAGCAACAAGTGACACTCTAGCTATCGATTAATATACTTCACGAGTAACATTGGCTGCATTAAGAAAAACTGTTATCCATAAATACTTTACTGAGTGTAAATATCAAGTACACACGTAGATTGTATATTAAAAGAGCTGTTTATAGATATGCGCTGGTGTATATCGTTTTGTACAATAAAAATATGTGCAATATTATAAGACATTCTGTACATGTGCAAAAGAGTACTGTCAATGTAACATCTGGCAGATTGTTGTTATTGATGAGTACAATAAACACGATGCCTTCTGACAGTATTTGTCCCATGATATTTCACTGGGTATAATTTATACTCCGTGTTGTACTCAAGTGGCGATGGAATGTCTCCATTGCGTAGTTATTGCTGCCTCTTAAAGTTACACAGCGTTAGCTGCAATACTTCAGAATCAAACAGTCTGCAAATACTGCCACGCGTCCTAACAACAGAATATATTATTTAATTATTATATTAGTGTACTCTTTTGTTCAGACATCCCAGCTGCTCGCGAATTTCGCGATTTTCACCTGAAGACGGACACTTGAGTTGCGTTCGAAACGTCGTGATTTATTTATTTTTATTTCTACCTACGTGACTTTACCGAAAGAACCAAAGAGTATGGATTCCTGCAGTCACGAAAGCTTCAAATCAAGATTTTATTAGTGTATTTGCTATTCTTCCAGCTGAGGTTTCACTTCATTTTGACGTTGTGTTTCTTGGACGACATTAACCACATCGTGGGAGTAACAGAGTTCAACTTTAGTGTTAATATGTGACGGGTGCTTGCGGTAGAAGTAATATCCGTGTTAGACAACTATTTTCTATTTTACCGGGTTAGACCCACTGAGGTATGTGACTCTTTTTCAGAAGCGATAGCGCAACCAAGTGGATTATCACGTGGAAATGTTTGGCAGCCAAATACTCTAAATGCGTGTTTCTAAATGTGGAGGGGAAAACCGGAGGACCCGGAGTAAAATCCACGCGACCATGGGAAGAGAACACGCAAACTCCAAATATACAGCAGGCTGTCAGGGTCTGGATCGAACCCACGACCTCCTCCTGTATCCAAGGCAAGAGAGTTAACATATTGCCACCCAAGTTACGTAAAGTTCGCATTCAGCACTAGGGGGCGCTCAGTGCTAGAGAATCACAAACCACATCACAGTCCAGGAACGTATTTTTCAAAGGGCGTGAAACGCAACGGCAGATTAAAGGCGCCCGGCTGATGATGCAGTTGACAATAATCGAGCCCCGTCCCATCACCTCCCGTCCAGCGGCACAGGTGGAAGCAGAGGCTCCACTTTAGTCAGTGGGGACTCTATTGAGGCAAATTATTAGCTCGTGTTCATGTACTGCAATAACAATGAACCCATAGTGGAACTCTCCCTGCAGAACTCTTATTGCTATGAAGTAGGCTTTTCGCACTGGAGTGTCGTGCAAGAATGAAGTTCTTAATTAGTGCAAGCCGCCAGTTATGAACGGATCAAAAGCCCGGACACTGACACAACACGTTGGAACAAAAAATGTGAAACGCAAATAAGCACAGAGAGGAGCGCGCTTGGATTTACACTGAGACACACAAATGGGAATAAGCTCGTCGGGAATACAAATGAGCCATCATCATATTGAGTGGAAAGGAAAATAAGAAGGCTTGGGGCAAGACACATAAGGAACGGTCACCGCCGATGGATGGAACAAGTTGTGGAATTCCAGATGAAGGAAAACAAACTGATGAGATAATTTCAAGTGCATGCGTGAGATGTACGGTGTCATCGCAAGACCTGTGCCACGGCATGAGGAGGCCGTCATGCAGCAGTGGATAGAAAATGGCCTGCTATTGATGATGGGTGTAAACTGAAACCAAAGATACATTGCGCCTCATTCGAGGCGACACTCGCGCACACTGACACGTGAACAAGAGTGGTTTGGCAAGAACACCGCCGTGTCAAATCCCCCCTGTTTCAGAGTGACAATCTAAGAATCATACGGAGGCGTCCGCGACAAATTCCACGCAATTTAAAGAAAACCATAACCTTCTACCCGTGCTCCGCCCAGGGTCCAGCGCCAGTCAAACCTCGCACCTGCTCCCCTGCTGCTCAGTCGTACCTACAGTGCAGCAGCAACAACAACATCAACATCTGGACGCTGTATAACGGGATTGTCCCCACGTCACTGTTTAGGGGGGGGGGCATTGCCGGTGCCCGTGTGTGTGTGTGACAAATATCAGAACAGGTCCTGAATCTCCCCGTAAGTTTGATTCAGCCTTAAATGAGTACCTGGTACGGTGTGTACACATCGCCACTGGGGAGACGGAGCTGGCAGAGCTGCTGCTAGCCACGCCAGCTGTGTTGGTCTTCATAGGTGCTTGCTAACAGCACTTATTCCAAAAATCTGCTTAGGCTATAAGGGGGATCTTTGTCTTCGTGACAAATTGCATTGGCATGGATCGTAGCAGAGTCAACTACGAAGCACATACTTACAAGGCTAGAGGCTGTGGGTTTAGTGAGTGGGCGAAGGATGGGGCATGTCAGTCAGCGAGGTATTTTCTCTGGGGTATTTGTCCTTCTGCCTATATTCTGCAACATAATATATCTCTCACTGGTCAAGGATGGGAAAGATGGGACATTTATTTATAACGGCACAACATCCATATAAAGCATTTGGGGGAAAGAAACATACACTACGTTGAGAACAACATTAAATGTAAATATTTATTCCAAGGTTTCTGAGAAGCGCATGAAAACCTGATAATGGTTCAACTTTCCTCTTCAATTTGTGGACAGCATTGTTATTTATAACCAATTGGGGCACCCATTGGGAGAGCTTGGTTACACATGCAAATACAAAGCAAATATAGAAAAAACGTGAACGTTTAACTTGCATGGGATATCGGTTAGAATTGTATTATTATGAAGCCACTGGAGCTATGCACTTATATATAGAAATTGAAAAGCCATTTCTTTCGAACTGCTTTTTGTATTTAGTTTTTTTGTCCTTCCCCCGCACCTCCGAATAGCACGGTTGGCTACGTATGGCGCGAAAGAAGTTCAAAGTACAATATTTGAGTTTGATTTCTGGCTATTAAAAAATGTCAGTGGTGAGTGATATACAATATCAACCTATCCTTGGCCCTACTTCACTAAGCGGCAGAAGACCATTGTGGTGAAGTATGGTCAAACAACGCCGATGGACCAGCATATAATGGGGGAGCCCTTCATTTGGGAGTGGAGTGGGTGTTGTTTTTTATTGTACATGCACAGTAACCGCCGGATAAGGGCCTCCCATCACCGTGCGGGTATTGAGGTGGAGTTATTTCACCATACTTCATCGTGCTGGTCAACGTGGTTTGGTGAAGGTGGGGGAACATGGGGGTTGCAGCATCGTATAGCGCAACAATATCAAGTAGATTTTGCTGCAGTGCCCTGTGAAGCAGCCTACATAACTTGTTCAATGCAGGGTGGTCGCCCATGCAAGGATTATCCAGGCTCAAGACTTCCTAGTTTATTAAGATCGGGTGCCTGTGTTCATGGTGTGATGCTCACATGTTATTATGACATTATTATTATCGTCAGGAAAAAAAAATTCTAAGTGGAAATATATTCACACAAATCCATAATATAAGCATAATTTACGTTCAGATTGTCGAAATGATGATTAGAGTTGTTGATATTGCAGTTGTGTGGTTATTAAATTCCTGCCATTTTATTTTTAAAGTGCACATACTTTGTAAATGTAATTCTTAACTCGACGCAACCTCTCAGAATAATGCATGCCTTGTCCAAGCCTTGCCTCCCCTACTGGGCTGCACATTCGCTTGCTCCGTGTTCATAATAAATAAATAAATAAACGCGCGCAGAAATGTTGGTGTAAATGTTTTTTTAATCGTTACCGTGTGGGGCCGTTTGGCGGTCGATCTTGTTTGGTCGAAGCCAGTGTTTACGCTGTCCACGAGGCAGCATTGTCCCTGCAGGGGCAATCGAGGAGATGAATGCACAGGGCTCGGGCACCGGCCCAGCGCTAATAGCCGCCGACCGGAGCGTGCCTTTTGCACCATTAATTACTACGCCTTGTTTGTTTAGGAACCACCTTCTGTCACAATAGCAGTTTTTTTGGTGGGTGAATATGTTTTGAGTTAAATGAAATCTGGTGGGTGTTTTGCCATAATCTTCGAAAAGTGAAGGAAAAATTAATTTCCATTGTTGGTCTCAATGGGCTCTTACCTGCCAATAAAAGTAATCTGAATAAAAGTAAACTATTTCAATCCACCACAGGATAAAGGCCTCCCCGCTCCACGTTGGCAATGGAGTTGCTTTTTTTTTCTACCATACTTCAGCATGATGCTTAAAGCGGGTTGGTGAATAGGGCAGGACCAGTTCTGATATCACTCGCCACTGACGTTAGCCGTGGCCAGGCATCAAACTCGGGTCACCGTCTATTCACACATGAGAATTCCAAAAAAAGACTTGGCAGCAGATAGCATTGGGACTGTATTGATGACACCTAATAAGGACGAAACCGGACTTCAGAAAAGATTATCACAACGCAGTTATTCAGAAATTGGTGGTTTTGCATAACGCAAAAGGCCGAGAGCTTTGTGCGCGTTTTTGTGTTTTGTTCACATTAATCTCGGGCAGCGTAGAACTTCACCAATGCGTGGTGATTCGAAGGCACATTTGTGCAATGACCAGTAAAGTACCTGCGGAAGAAAATAATAATTTTAAAAATATGTTCGCTCCCACTCGCGTGTGTCAGCGTGTTGGGTCACATTAGCGGTTCTGTCAGCGTAGCGGCGAGTTAAAAGCGTTATGAGTGATTAACGATCTGTTTACCCCGGGCTCGGTACTCGGGGTGGGGGGGGGGGATGTACTCTATGTGTGTGCATTTCCAATATGAAGGGCGGAAATAATCCATTAAGTACATTCTAGCGAGCAGGCTGGTGCGGTGATGTCAGCGCGCCACAATTCGCCGATTAACTAATAATAATGATGATGAGGAATTCCCTTTTGGCGCCACCAGCCTCGCAGTGGAAGCTGTAAACGGTGCAATTGTTGAGCGCTCAACCCTACACCTCGGCCAGGATCAACAGCTGCAATCTGCGTGGCGCTGTATGGTCGCGAAGGGTCCTCTGCAGCCTGAAAGCACGCGCGCGAAAACATCAGCACAATCTTCAGCCACGATCTGTCCACTGATAGTTGAAGCACTCCCACCCCGCCCCTCTCCCAAGTCATTGCGCCATCTCTCAGTCTCACGATGCAACAGTCTATCCCACTCCTGCACACGAGCTGATTTCATCGCTCTCCATGTCCTGCAGTGGACTTCCTCTTGCGAGAATTCCTCTCCCTTGGCCGCGACTCCGTTGTCAGTCTCGAGTCACCGGCCATCATCATCATCATCGTCGCGTCCAGCAGTGAGTCTCGTGCAAGATTCGCTCACGCTTCTTATGTCGTCAATGCGATGTCCCTTCCCTCATCTCCCCCTTCCCCTAAAAATGCCACGTTCCCGAACGTTGCCCCAACGTGAATAGGGCAGTGAGCCCAACCACCTTCCCT